TGGAAAAAGAACGGGATGAGATATCGGAAACCTCTAAATCCCAAATCTCGGAATTAGAAAATCGGCTCACCTCTAGTATCCACGGGTTGGAAAAAGAACGGGACGAAATATCTGAGACCGCTAAATTTCAGCTTTCCGAAATTAAACAAAAAATGGAAGCAAAGATACGGGAATTGGAACGAGAACGTGACGAGATTGATGAAAAGGCAAAAATTGAGATTGCTAAATTAAACGAGCAGTTGGACAGTAAAGTGCAACAAAATGAACGAGATCGCGAAGAATCACTTGCGCTTTACAATAATCAAATATCTGAACTAGAGTCAAAAGCGCAACAATTGGAACTAGAAAAGGACAAATTGCTGGAAAACACAAAAAATCAATTAGCTGAAATTGAACAATCGAAAGTACTTGTACGTAAATTAGAACAAAACAATGAAGAAATAACAACCAAGTATAAAGTTTTAAATAAAGAATTAGAAGAAGGATTGATCAAATTGAATGTGGAAAAAAACGAATATCTCGCCTCTAATTTCAAAGTCTCGGATTCAGACGGCAACACTTTTGAAATAACTATAAAAGAGAAGGAAAACATTCTTGACCGTCTTTCAAAATTAAGAGAGATGTTAGACACCCTAAACAAGCAGTATGAATCACAGAAAGATAGAAATCAAGAGTTAGAATTATCATTAAATTCCCTAAATCAACAAATTGTCCAAAAAGATGAAAACTTTAGTAAGTTACAAATAGAAAAAGAGCAACTTACTTTATTATTACAAGAGTCCGAATTGAACTACAATAATTCAAAAGGTCAAATTGTCGAGTTAACGAATAAACTATCAATTGCGCAACAAGAAATAACTCAACACCAAGACACAATTTCAACTATAAAAACGACAAACGAACAACTCACTAAATTATTGCAAGAGTCCGAATTTAACTACAATAATTCAAAAGACCAAATTGCCGAGTTAACGAGCAAACTATCGATTGCGCAGCAAGAAATAATTCAACACCAAGGCACAATTTCAGCTATAAAAACGACAAACGAACAACTTACTAAAGCGCATGAAGAACTATCGCAAAATCACAAAAATATCACTTCAAATTACGAAGAATCATTAAGGCAACATAATGAACTCGAATTGGCTTCTTTGGCTCTGACTAATGAGATCAAGGAACTTAAAGGACGCGTCAGTGAACTTTTAAAACAAAAAGATGAACTTGGCATGACAAATATCGAACTTTCTAATAATTTAGAAATTGCTCAAGGACAATATAAAAATGCTGTTGGTGAATTGGAACAAATTAAAGAAAAATACGTGACAATAGAAAAAGACTATGGATTACTTGAATCGGATATTGCTCAGTTACACAATGCAAAAACTGCAGCATTAGAAAAACTATCGGATGTGGAATCACGGCTCAGTTCGTCATTGGCGCGAGAACGAGATATAAAAGATTCTCTTACGATAGCAAAAGAAACAATAAATCAACGTGACGAAGAAATAGAAAATCTGCTAAAGCAGCAGACAGCAGAAAAAGACAAACTTAATAAGTCACTTGCACTCTTAAAAACCACAAAGCAAAAAATTTTGACGTTAGAAGATGAAAAACGAGAACTGAATGAAGAATTTGAACGCAACCAAGAATTATTGACCCAACTTGAGCAATCCAGTCAAACATTAAAACAAGAAATTTCACGGGCCAACAAAGAACTCGCCGCAAAAGCAGCACAAGTTACTCGACTGGAATCCTCAAACGGAAAATTGCAAGAGGAAAAAAATTCATTGTTTGATCAGCTACAAATAAAGCAAGCGGAGTTCGAGTCATCGCAGTCATTACTTGAGAACTTAACAAGTCGCACCAATGAACTCACACATCAGCTTAAAGAATATGAAGAACGTATACAAGCGCTCGAAGAGGAGTTGAAAATTAATAAACGCACGTCTAGGGATAAAACCCGGGAAGTGGAGTTACTTCAAGCTAAAGTAGCTGAATTACGAAGAGAATCAGAAACAAAGATTACTGCTCTACAAGCTCAAGTGGAAACTTTGGAATCGGAAAAAGGAAATGTCGAAAAAGAATTTGAGAATAATAAAGTATTGGAAGAGAATAAACTGCAAGAGTTGAAAAATCGATTGATGGTTAAAGAACAAGAAGCTGATAATCTATTAAAACGGTATAAACAAGAGGATCATGTGATAGCAGGATTGGAAAAAGAAAACCAAGATTTGAGAGAAGAAATAATTAAATTACAGGAGGCGAGGAATAAGCTGCGTGAAGAACTTTCTAATTCTAGTGGAGAAATGGCAAGTGTATTTTATTCACTATTCATTATATCGTCGCCAAATTATGAACTATGTTTAATTTTAATTTTAATTTTAATTAATAGACCAAATACCGCGAAATGGAAACATCAACACAGCGCGACAAAGAAGAATTCAATAAACTATTGGAAGAATCACGAATGCGTGAAAGCCATTTACGTCATGAAAATAAGGTAATATTATTTTCCAAGTCAAATTTTGATGGAAAGCATAACGGATAACTCAATTATGTAATTCATAACCCTTTTTGATACTATAAAATAGACCTTGAAAGACGAAGTTCGCAAACTTCAAAAACTTAATTCGACCAATTCTGATCGAGACCCAACCTCGCCATCACAACCCACTTCTCCAACATTCTTTCCCAGTCGACAAACACCGCCTATGACACCGATAATACCGTCATCCTCATCTCTGAATCTGTTGGGAAATTCGTCATCATCTTCACTTGTGCGTGCTGACGATGATATTCATCTGGAGTATATTCGTAATTTAATAATGAAATTTTTGGATGCTTCGAGAAAAGAGAGGGTAAGTCTCTCCTTTTACTTTATGATAATTGGATTGAGACGAATTTGCTTACATCGTATTTCTATATTTTTTTTTAAATAGCCAATTCTTATTCCAATACTTGCGACCGTACTGCAATTGAAGCCAGAGGATAAGCAGAAGTTGGTCGCAAAGTACGGATAAAAGGCGTGAATGCGTGTCAAGGACTATTTATTATTTCATTGTTAGATTCTAATAATTTTTGGTGATTTATTTGTTTGTGTTTGCATCTAGATATTAATAATGTAAATATTAACTTAGAATATACTACTAGTAAGAATCATTAACTGTTTTTATTAGACGATTAGACGTTAAGATTTCAATCGATTAAAAAAAATGAATGCTTAAATTTCTTTTCTGCCCTATTTCTTCATACGCATGCCATCAAATTTACTATGCTGAAGAAAGTTTGAAAAATCTACAATTTTATTTGTGAACATTATGTATATGCGTGTATATATGTATATGTATAAAAAGATGGCGATGGTGGCGGAAGAGTAAGTGAAGGTATATAATAACAAGGAAAGAAAAGTCTATATAACAAAAATATATGTCATAATTTATAAGCAATTATGACTTTTAATTAGACTACATGTGATTAATTAAACTTTTTTAGAAAAATACAAATAAATAATTTTAACAAAATATACTATAAAACAACTTTTAACCAGACTAATAAATAAATAAATAAATAAATAAACAACAAATAAATTAATTAAATATAAACATATGCAATATTTCTACAATAGTCGACTCGACCACCACCAAAATTATTTTTTCTATTTACCACAGGCGGAAAAATCTCCACATCAATTACCGAATCCACAACTCTCTTTTTTAGATCTATAATGTCCTATTAATAATTACAATCTCAACAACTTTTCATCAAATTGCAAGAATAATCGGCACCAGCTCCCCTTCGCCTTCATCATCCTCCTCCTCCTCCTCCTCTTCACCAACATGACCGTCACTAGCATTATTAGTCAGTAGTTGATTTCGGAAATTATCTGCTTCATCCTCAGTATCGGTATCAACATCCCCGGGTTTTCTCTCTTCAAGTATAATTTTTACTCCACCAACTGGTATTTTCGTTGGTGTTGTGGCAACCGAATTACTTGACATTGTTTCATCTAGATCATTATTGCTATTAAATGTTCCAATCCCGGTTCCGTTAGTGTTCTCCGTTATGTTTCTTCGATTACTGTTACCATCTCTATTGTTATTATAATTTGAGAAATAGTAAGATAATGTCGATGATGCAGTGTTCCTTGCATCAGCAGCTCTTTCAAGTGATGCGGCTATTTCATCCGCATAATCCGGATCCAATTGGTCGTCATCTGATAATTCGATTGCAGGTTCAGGTGTAATCGATAAAGAACTTGTCAAAGATTCCAAATTTGTCAATGTTGGTGTTAGTGGAGGTGGAGTGGGAGGTGGCGGTATTGAGGGTAACGTGATCAATGTTTGCATAGTGACAGTTGCAGTGCTGGTATTGGTTGATGATGAACTAATCGGTGGGGATGGTAATGGTACATTTGGAGGCCTTGTTCGTGGTGGAGGTGGTAATATAAAGGATGGCAATGAAAACGAATTATCTCGATTATGATTGAATCGATTTGATGAAAATGATCGAGGTTGTGATAGCGGCGGTGAATTTGGTCGTGATGATGATT